CCGAAGGTGGAGGTGCTGGCGGTTCTGCATCACCGGTTCTCCTTCTTTCAGGAGGGTGGATAGGGACCCCTCCAAGATCGGGGCATCCTGCCTTTCATCAACCAGCGTCCTCCGCTTGGCCCTAGTGAACAGATAGGCCTCACCCAGCTGATGAACATGCCGATCTTCGGCCTCCTTTGAGCTTTCGACATGGCGATCTCCGGCTCTCAAGAAGTGCAAGCAGCATGCGCATGCTGGCGTGAGCTGCACCTGGAGCATCCGAGTGAAGATCTCAGCTTCTTCGGCGCGTCGGAGGCACGCCCTTAGCTCCAAGGCTTGCCGGTCATACTGCTCATCCAGAGCAAGCAGGTACGTGGTCAAGTGCACCATGGTAGGACTATCTTCTTGCGCATCCCGCCCTTGCAAAGCCTCCATGCGAGCCGTCCATGCTTGTCGATTCCTATCCAAGGGTGGAAAGAACCTCATGGGGGTACGGGCAATGGGCTCTTCATAGAGCTGGCAAAGGTACCGCAAGGCTTTGCGGGCCACAACCTGGTAGTTGTCGGTGAAGCTAAACCCGGTTGCGGTCACACTCCAGGCTTCGGTGATGTCGGGGAACTCTTCACTCTTCCCAATGTAGACGGTAACCTCACACCGATCGGTGCCATGCTTCTCATACTCACGGCCTTCATACTCGGGACGATCTTTGACTCCGAGCTTTTGTAGGGTGGCATGCAGGATTCTAGGAAAATCCTCAACGTTCAGGCAGTAACTACTAACCCAGGCTCCTGCCATTTCTGGCGGTGGCTACAAAGAAGGGCTGAGCAAAAAGCTTGCTCAAAGGGAAAACCTAAGCGAGCTAAAGTGCGCCGAGCGGTGATACCAATGGCTAAGCCAGGCTCTGCTTATAAAGGCAGAGCGGTTTGTGGTCCTAGCGCGGTTCACTAGGGTTTCTGCACGGGATCACTACGAACGAATCGACCAAATCCGGTGCGTTCGAGGCGAGTGGCGTGCGGTACCATTACTGAGTAGTACGACTATAGGGCAAGGGTCCGACAAAGAGCGCAGAAAAGGGGTATGAGGAGACGTGAGTCACTGCTGACGTGACTCACGGGCGAACGCGGAGCACAAAGCCACAGTGCAGACCTAACTCTGTAACAAGAATGAGTAGCCCATGCACACTACGACACGCGTGGCACCTATGGATGGCGTATCTGCCAGCAATACGGCACAATAATGCACAAACAGGATATGCATGAATGCACGTCCTATGCGTTCGAGGTGAGCGATGTCCAAGGCCATTAATGACTAATACGGTTGCAAGCCAAGGTTCCAATAATAGCCCAAAAAAGAGTGCGGGCAAGCATGCATGCTGATGCAATTATGGTAGCTATAGTTATGGCGACCAACCCCAACTACCGACCATCTCGGAAGCAACGTGCACACAATCCAAGCCGTGTCTTAGATGCATGGATACATGGATGCATGTGTAAGTATAAATGGTCCTGCATGGTTGGTGAATTATTTCTATTTGATGGTAAGGAGGAGAGGCATTAAATGTGTCCACCTGTCCGACTTGTTTTTATCTGATGGTAACATGAAGAGGAGGCATCAAATGTGTCCACCTGTCCGACTTGTTTTTATCTGATGGTAACATGAAGAGGAGGCATCAAATGTGTCCACCTGCTGTCGACCCACCCTGCGTAGGTGAAGATGTCTAGTGCTTTCAAACTCACTTAGTAAATTTCTGGATACCTTAGGGAATGGCTTCGGACACTGCTCGTTTTGTGCGTGTAAAAATCCTGCCGATCTCCTTTTATTGGTCTCCGCGCCAGACTAAATAGTGGACTGCGCTAGGACCAATGACCGCTCCACCATTATAAAAGGCTAGTGTCAATGTCTCTTTTCCGACCAACCAGTGTTTTTTTTCTTTTTCTCTTTCCTTGAGCTAGGGTTTCGGTGCGTATTGCTGTCTCAATCCAACTGTCCGAAGTTGTATATGTTTATTTTGAGTCTGGGCTTCATCTACTTTTTAATATAATCGGCAACTCTCTCCTGCCTGACTTGTTTTTTTTAAAAGAGAGATTTGGAAAAAGATGGAATAGGAAGACAAGATACAGGTAGAGAAGGGGAAGTTTGCAAAGTTAGATAAGCTTGGAATGAGCATAGGAACATGTATTGAGATGATTCCCATGGTTTAAGCATTGCCACACTTGTGTAAAACATTTTTCACTTGTGTACTTGTCGTAACCTGTAAACGATATCACTTGTGTAAAACATTTTTCAGAAATGAGATTTTTCATTTCTGTTTTCTTCCAGGCATCTCGTGTACCATGGTTTAAGCATTGCCACACTTTGTTCATACAGCATTTGCACGCACATAAGTCAAGCACCAACAACAATTAAATCCACATAGATACTAAGTTGTACGATAAAAAAACAATAGTTTAATCATCAATCTGTCGTCCATGCAATATAGCAAAAGATTTTTTGCTCAAGGTTATTCTCAAACTGCACTACAGATCCATCAATGAAGTATCCCACATCACTAAACGCTTAGCTCAAAACGGAGCAACCACACACAAATGCTACCGGTAAACGGCCAATGTCCTGATGCCCTCACTGGCCCCTGCATAGAGCAAATCATTTCCCAATGAATAAAGAGAACGGTTCATGCAAACAATGAAGGTACACACCAACCGCCTATACCGTATTAGTTTGCTGATGAAGCAAAAATAGTAAATAAAAGGTAAACAGCAACATAGTTCCAAAAGATTAGTGTTGTATTGACATATCACCAACAGTGACTATTTGCACCACATTCTCAGACACCTAAATGATGGATCAGAATGTGACAACGTGGTCATAACCAATAATAACCATGATAACTAATCAAATATGAGACCACAGCTATGATCACAACCCACACAGGTCAGACCTAAGATAAAATGCTATTGTATCACACTATATACGAATGATACTGTATAATGCGACAATTTTTCTGTGCAATGAATGTTCACTTGTAAATTAGTAACATATTTTCATGATTATAAAATAAACAAAAGGGTAAACTCTGGGATGCTATTCTACATTTCAGTGTGCGCCTTTTTATTAGTTCTTGGATTTGTAAGCTACTTGCAACTGGTCAATTCATCAAGAACATTCTAGCAGGTTAGACTAAAAAATAGTGGGCTACTGGCTGCCTATCAGAACTCAGATAGTATATGGGCAATGCAACTTGCAAGGTAGTATGAACTGTGTACAGGAATATATGCTGAAAATACATGACATCAGGAAATGCAATATTTTACATAAATGTATTGAGGCACCAAGAAAGTTCATTGGCATATGCATCTACATTCACTACTCACTAGACAAATTCAGCGAGAAAAAGGTACAGAAGTCTTTAGAATTAACATAACACCTAAGATGAAATATAACACTTCTCACGGGATAACTCTATTACTATCTGAAAAGGGGACAACTCTCTTAATCAATGTGACATGTATGGAGCTAATTTCAGATCAAGTAATTTGTAACTTATGAATTACTTTGATATTCATAAGGAGCAAAACCAACCAGTTAGACTCTTATGTTCAGTAGGGTCACAAAAAATGTTGAATTCATTATTGGATCATACACTCGGGTCATAGGTTAGCTATTTTCTCCACTTCTGATTGTGAACACATGGAATTTATAAATCTCTGATTTGAGGGCAGTGTGTGCAGGCACTCTACTATTTATAAAAATTTCACCTTATTAGGCATTTTTTAACAGACAAGAAAAGAGATTACCCAGAACTTTGCTAATAGAGCTCAAATTCTAGCGATTATATAACACAATAAAAAGGGATTAAAAGAATCAAGCCTAAATCAGCTAGATATAATACCAAAGGTATATAAAAAGGATGGAGTGCCAAATTTGCAACAAATATGATAAAGATGCAATATCAAATTAGTGACACAAACCTGTGCAACCTAATAAGTTGGATCACCACATGCCATGAAAATATCTACCAAAAGGCTCCTAAATTTGTAGCATGTTCAACATCCTGGTACTACCATACAGCGCACCTGTTTAGTGGATGTCTAAGTGAGCTAAGGATGAGTTGGGTGCAAATGAAAGTATTCCATCTGAACTATGGATTCTCAGCTCACACAAGCCTTCCAATCCAGCCCCCTGCACCAGCGTGAAACTGCGCTCAGAAGTCAAAATTCTCCTCAGCGCAACTCAATCCGCAAACCCACTCAATTCCACTAAGCGTGGTAAATAGAACTTCACCAAGCATTTCGTTGAGCACTTGCCGATCGCAATAGGACACATTCCAATTCGTCACCGCAACCCACTAACGTCTGATCAACAAATCAACTGGCAAGAGATGGCAAGCACAAGCACACAGAACTACAGAAGCGTTGCGCTAACAGGTACAGGTATTGGTGGAGATGGGAGGGGAGTCTTGATGGGAGGGTGGCCCTGACCTGATCTTCTTGATGAGGATCTCGCGGAGCTTCTTGCCGAGATCCTAGGACCGGACGCGCTGCATAAGCGCCTTACGCGCGAGCACGTGCTTCTCCGAGTCCTTGACGTGGTGGTGGGTGCGCGCCCAGATGAGGCGCTCCATGCCGCTAGACCGCATCTTGCGCTCCATGACTGACAGCAACATAAGCTTTACAATTTCACCATTATGCTGATAGTACAAAAAGAAGGAACGAAACATAAGCTTTACAATTTCTACATTTGTACAGCAACAACTCAATCCATCTGGTTGGCTACTACAGCTTTTTAACTTCAAGCAGAGTTTGCTCTTCGCTATATTATATTTTACTGAGAAATGTCTGCAGAGACTGAGAGGGAGAGGAAATGAGGAAAATTGGTGATAGCCTGATAGGAGAAACCTCTTTTCACTATGCTTTACTGTGTTGTATTTCATTTATAAGGCCGGTGTGCTTCAGTGCACATCACTATGCAACTATTTATCCTACCAGGGGTATGTGGGCCTCATCAATTGAAATCTTAATGTATCATTTCTTCGTTTGGAACTCAGATTCAAATTCCTTTTGTAGCCGATCATGTGACTCCATTCTAGCCGCTAGTATAACATCACTGATAAAACTCTTATATGGGAATTTATCCGGCACAAGGCCTCTGTAAATATCAAACTGCTTATCTGCGTCTTCTTTTCTGTCGAAAAGTGCATACACAATGCCCTGCAGAACCAACACCATAGACAGACAAGATGCACATTCAAAGTCAAAACGAAGGTACTTCAGAACAAATCAAACTCAGCAAAATAACAAAGAGTACCTGGCAAAGGTGAGACCGAAAATCTCGAGGATCCTCATTTATAAGATTTTGTAGTTTCTCAGATGCAACATCCAACTGACCCTGTGCCATCAAAACTTGCATTTAGACACCAAAAACTGTCATGGTCTCAGATTTCCATCCTATTTGAATAAATGTTACCATGACAACATGCATTTGTGCGATCAAAAGCTTTATGTTGCGCTCTTCCAGGACCCTTTTCTCTGAAGTTGCAAGCTGCAAAGCATTCTCAAGCATTTCAAAAACAGTAGGGCCTTCAAGTTTCTTCTGCATACATAGTGCAAGTCTCTGCAAGACAGGAAGAGCGCGAGTTGTTACCAGACATGAGGAACTACTAATCACTTAGAGAATGTCACAAGGATGGGATTCTAATAAAGAGCAAGTTTTAAAAGTCTAAGACAACATTGGTGTTGAGAATTTGCTGCTCATGGCTGAACACAAAATGTCAAGCAGACACGTCAAGTAGTAAAGAACTGGCTCTGCTTCATTCCTCATGAAATCAAGAAGTATATTATGGTTGCAATCAATCAAGTAAAAATTGCAACACTTAGCACAGTCAGTTTTGTAAAACCTAGTCTGTTAAATTTACGAAGCCTAACCTAATCAGTATACAACACTCTATATCTACAATATAATGCTGACAACAGCCCCCTTGCATAGTTAGTACTTCCTACCATCTTAATGAATATTCCATTATGCGACTATTAAGAGTTAGGCTGTGGCATGAACCTCCCCCTGGATTCTTTTATATTAGAAATTGCTAGCAAGTGGAGCCAGCTGCCTAAGGTATGGAAAAAAGCATATTCTTTTCCTTTTGGAGAACGTCAAGCATCAAGCCATCAAGACAACTTTCTGTGAACTTTTAGGGACAACTCTAGCATAGCTTAGAAACAACTTGCAGCAAATTGCAGAATTTTATATGCACTGCTTCTCGTCCCCTCACCAGTAATGCCGTATTTCAATTGCTACTGGTACCATCTTTAATTCCCAGTGTCTGAAAGACTGAAACATATATGATCCAATAACTGACCATTGATCACCACATCAACTGTGACGCCAGCAGTAACCACACCAACACGAAGAATTGCAGGCAAATTGCAGCTACTGAATACATTAGAAAGAGGATGTATGCTATACCCACATGGAGAGCCCAGACGAGGAGGGGCTCCTCTGCCAGGAGCTCCCTGAACTGACGCTCAGCCTTGGCGAGGTCCCCCTTGAGCTCGTGCAGCTGCGCCACCATCAGCCGCCACTCCACCTCGCTGGGCTCGGCGTCACGCAGCCGTCGCACGTACCGCAGCGCCCCGCCCCAATCCGCGCGCCTCATCTTAGCGTACAGAGCGCACTTGAGCGCATCCACGTCGCCAGGATTGCGGCTCAGAATTGCCGAATACATTCGCACCTCCTCATCTTGCTCTTCGATTTCTTGGAGTTGCTGGGTCGGCGCGGGAGCGCAGGCGAGGGCGGGGAGTGAGCGGACGCCGGAGAGGGGGAGGAGGCCTGCGACGAGCACGAAAAGGAGGGTCCTCGAGGTGGAGACGACGGAAGAGAGAACGCTCTCGGTCGGGGTCTTCAAGGAGGAGGTGCCGGGGAGCCATGCCGTCCTGGTTGAGAACGCGATTCGATGACACCGCCGCCGGAGGAGACCACGCCACCAGGGAACGCCGAGCGCGCGGGCCTGGGCACGCCATCGCAGAAGAGGAGGAGCAGCTTCGGAGCGCTGGCCACCCGCCGTCGATGCATCCGGCCTCCTGCGGGGGAAGCCGGGGGATCCGCCCGTCAGTGCCGCCACCAACCACGGCACACAGACGCAGAGACGCCACCGGCAGCGTGAGGGCCACTGACGCCATCGATGGGGTGGAGGATGAAGGCCGGAGCTCAAAGAGGATCAATCCACGGCGCCCCTGCACGGGTCCTCCTCATCACCGGAGGGAGGGACGGGGAGGGTGGCCACCGCCGGATGCAGGGGGCCCCTCGTCGGCGCCAGTACCGGAAGGAGGGGAGGGGGCAGTGCCGCCGGTGGGGTGGGGGCAGAGCCGCTGGCGGCGTTGCAGTCGGGGAAGTCCGTAGCGTGAAGAATACAAAAGGCACCGGCGATTGAATGATGGCGAGGTTTGGGGACGGGATTTCCGGCGCTGGAACGTGGAAAGGACGAAACAAAAACTACGGATGCATTAAGTGCATGGTCGGTGAATCGTACTGACGTGCGTGCCGATCACCGTACTTAATTAGGCACCGGCCGCATGTCGAGAATCTATCTCCTCTTCTACATTCAATGCGTCCATACATGGAGAAAGGCCAGTTCTGACGCGTCTCATCTATACCGTAGAATTTCTATTTAACGCATCAAATAAAAAGAACGTACGTGGACATTCTAACAGGCCGCCGATTCGGCGTGCCTTCATATCTGTAATGATTTGCTTTACTCACAGACTTCCTCAAGAAATTTGAGATGAATCATAAGGCGCCAGTCTCAAATAGAGAAGGCAAAACTCAGGTACTCATAAAAAATACTATACATTTTATTATATTGGAAATGAAATTTACCAGCATTGTGGCATCGACTCAGTAATACTTTATCCAACATATATGTAGTAAAGAACTATATAACACCTCACTGTAAATGGTTATTTTCACTCAGCAGGAATTTCAATCTCCCCTTTGGCTGAGCCTGCCTGTGATACTACCACGTTTTATATAACTTTCTAACCGGAATGTTCATGTTCACATTATTATGCCAAAACATGCACAAGCAGAGCATATCTATACCTTGGCCTCCATGCCACGCTGAAGTTCTCCTGCATGCAGCCGTCCAATTGATATTCTTCCTTTGCGCTCATCATATTCAGTATTAGGTACCTTCATAGAAGCCAACAATTAAGCATTGATACGGAGGCAACGAAAGATAAGTGCAGATATAGGCTGTGAACACCAAAACATGTTGAGAAGCCAGAAAGCCGTCTCAACAGAAAAATTTTCAGGATAAAACAATTGGAGCTTTATAAGCATGAAGCCTGGAAGAAGAACAAAATAGATAAGGCATTCATATTATGTGGTTGATGAGGTTCATGCTCAAATTAGCAATAGCACCCTTTTAGTAGAAATGAGTGAGTGTCCATGTGACACTAGTTTGGGAGAGACCAGCTGTGAGCATGAATCGAGATTGGAGACTTAGAAATCCAAGAGTAATAAAAAAATAGTAATACAACTATTTGTTGATTATGAATGTCGGAAGTAACTAATTTTCAATAAAGTTTTCCCTTTTAGTGGATGCCAGATATCAGTCATCAACAAGAAACACCTATAAATTAATTTTTCAAGACATGTCTTTCAGCATTTTAGGATAACGATGTTGCTCATATTTGATCCGTATGAAGTAGGGCTGTGGAGGCTGTCGGGATCACAACTTGAATAGGCATTTAATCGAGCACTTAAACTACAGGCAGCAAAAATCTAGCATACAGAGCAACAAACCATAGCACAGATTTCGTACCCAAAGGTGAGGAAGGCAGATGGAGTTGTCCCCCAAGATCAACAAGAATCCCCAGCAAAGCAATCTTGCTTATCCTCTGTGTCCCCTTTCTGAAACCAACACAATTTGACATTACAATTCCGGTCGTCTGCTGGAGAGGGGATGGGCTGCAACGCCTAATGAGGAGCAAGAGAAGAGGAGGATGTGGGAACTCACCTGGGCTTCAGAGCCAAGGAGCATCAGCACCGGCGCAGCTGCCGTCGCGAGTATAGCATGGAGGAGAGACGAAACCATAAGCTGAGGAAGCCCAAGTGGTGTGCAAATCCTAGGCATGTCCACCGGATGTCCTCAGAGCAGGCTCCTAGACCGGAACCAAAGCCAAATCACGAATAAAAATTACGCGGATGCAATAAAAGCTTTTCCCAATTTCAGATGACACCTGACAATCAAATAGCACGCCAGTAGTGCATTAAAGATTGAGAAGCATCACATACCGAATCCTCAGTTCATAGTAGATGCGCTTCAATTCTAGTAGGGATGGAATGTCTGCAAGAGCATCCTGAACAATATTGTCCCCTTCCTTTGGTTTTTTTTCCCTTCAATGGGTCTGCTTCAAATACTCTAGCACTAATTTTCCTTGATAAAATTTGTGCTCTGACATAATCTTGCCGATCTAGGCATAGCCGGACCTGTGACAACAATAATAGAAAGTTTTGCATGAATCAGCATTTTAGTAAGAATACAAAGTGCTTAACATAATAGATTGCCATAATACCTGGTCAAGAATAAAAGCAATTTTTCCTGTCTTGGCCATGGAACCAAATGTTTCGACCTGATAAACAACTTGGTAGTAACAGTCATGGATGGCCTGAACTGACAAACAATACTAAAGAATGACAGAAACATTGTCACATAATATGGAAGTACATGTCCTCAATTCTAGTGCAGTGCAAACTTACAGCAACTTATTGCATCAAATCAGCAGCCTCGTCAATCTGTCCATGCTCCTCTTTGATTTTAGTAAGTCTTTTGATCAATCTTGCTCTCTCTATCTCAACATAAATCTGCAGATGAACAACTGTCAGATTACACACATAAAAACAAGGAATCTTAAATGGAATAAAAAATCATCAAGATGGAAAATTCTCACTTTGCCAACAGAGACGCTGCTCAGTGTTTTGATTAGCTCGATGCGTGGGTCAATGTCTAGTGTCAAATCAATGTAGTCCATTGCTTTCTGAACCATAGCAGTTATGGCCTGCGATAAACAGAAGTGACAGCAATATAAGTGGATAGTAAACAAAACAGTAGCAAGTGGCATACATGGTTAGCGTTCCTTTCTATATGCTTATCAATTTATAGGTAAACAAATAGACAAAGATGACTTATGAATATGCAAAAACAAGATAAATAGTTAGAGTAATGCTTTGGTACAGCATAGGCTCCCATTTGAAAGCAAGTAATAAAGAACTACTTATATTATACTTAATAGATTGATCTAAAGTGTTCTGGTCATGGGCAAAACATTGCTTAAGATGATTGTGAATAAGACTCAAGAACTGGCAACTGTATGTCCAAGCAACTAAAGGTCAAAGCAAAATGTTGCAGATAAAGATTTCACATTGTGGTTGTTCAACAATGGATAGGAACAATGCAAACTCCAGAAGTGCAATTATTCGCTGATGCTAAGAAAATAAGTACCCTAACGAACAACCAAATGGATAACAGTTCAAGCGAATTGCATCAGCATACATCTAGACATCACTATGGCCATGGATGAGAGCATTCAGATTGCACACATAGTGCAATCTAAGGAATGTAAAGCAAAAATAGTAAGCACATCATGCGATGCTTCATAGTCAACGCGGAAGAATGGTGAGTGGCGTTGCATTTAAAGGAAAACCAGTCAGCATTGTTAAGTAGAACTAAATCATCAAAAAACAAAAACACAAAATGTTCTGAAAATCAATGGCCGCTGCAAGCAGAAAGAATGTATAAAAGTAAGAAATCATGTATTTCTAGCTTTCTTAATAATTACAACTGCATGAAATATTTATTGGATGGATAAACCATACTCCCACCAACCACTATATTAGTTTAAACAGGCAACTTCGATTCAGAAAGCTTTCTCAAGTACAGTTTCTTTTAACAGACAAGAGTTCAACAGATGTTTTGGGGTCAATACCTCGAACCAATACCAAAAGTACAACAAAGTTACAATAGTAAAATACTTCAGTACCGCGTTATGCGGAGGCTGCTCTGCCTTCGTACAAGCAAACTAATTACTAAAGCACCTCCAAAGGGTCTCATACACATATACTAATTACAGAAACCAATCGAAGATGTAAGAGCAAGGCGGTGAATACTCGAGACCCGAACCTGCTTAAGCTGGCCTCTCCTCTTGGAGAGGAGAACGATCTGGTCGTTGAGCGTCTTCCACGCGCCGGCCTTGTAGCAGAGCTCAACGATGTCGATGACGGCCTTCCGCGTGCCGACGACATCGCCGGCCAGCCTCATCTGCTTCTCGACGTTCAGGAGCGACTCTATCGCCACATCGAGGTTGGTGTTCCGTACCTTCGTTGCCACAGCGTCGGTGGCCGCCGCCTCCTGCGCGCGGGTCTTCATCAGCGGCGGCCCGCGTCGGGGTAGGAGAGGAAGAGGGTGAGGTACCGCCAGATCCAGGCGCCGAGTTTCGTCGCCACCGCCGCCGACGGAGAGGAAGAGGCAGGTAGGGTTTCGCCGACCACACACGGACCGGTGGGACGAGGCAGCGCCGGGGGAGAGCAGGGGCTCGGACGCGGCCGCGGACACTGGCGTTGGACGGCGCACCATGGCACCGTGCCGGGGAACGCCGCTGCGCCGCGCACAGGGTGCGGAGAGCCTCGGCGGTGGCGACGAGGAGCGAGGGAGAGAGCGAGAGCGAGAGCGCGGATAGGAGAGAGAGCGCACGGAGAGGAGAGAGAGGAGGGGAGGAATGGAGATGGGGACGGGGATGGGACGAGAACCGGAAATGAGGACTGGGGCCATGGTGCACGCAAATCGACGATGCATGCATGTCACCTGGCACCGGCCCCAGCAGTATGCATGTACGCGTTAGGCACCGGCCATGCATGTCACCTGGTACTACCTCACCTGACCGGTCGAGACGCGTTTCATGTGAGTCGTGGAATCTCGATCCAACATACTAAATTAAAAGAACTAATATGGACAGCCTAGAAGGCCGCCGATTCGGCGTGCCTTCATATCTTTAATATCTATATCTATCTAAACTCCACTAAAAATATCTATATGTATCTAATAAACTATATAAGTCCTGTTCGCTTTGGCTTATAAGCCGTATTTTTTTCATCTCACGAACAGTATTTTTCTCTCACAACAAATCAGCCAGCAGTACTTTCAGCCATGACTTATCAGTCAAGCGAACAGGGCGATAGTAGGTTCATATGGCCGTTCATTGCTTTAAATACTTTCTATAGTATTAAAAAAATACATACTTCATCCGTCCCAAATTATAAGTCACTTTATTTTTTTTATATTTATTTTTGTTATGTACCTAGATATAATATATGTCTAAATACATAACAAATTATATGTACCAAAAAAGTCAAATTGACTTATAATTTAGAATGGAGGGATACTTTTTGGTTAACACGTACTGTATAAAAAGTAATGTCTTGTATATGCATCATAGTTCCCATTCTGTACAGATGATGTAGTTTGTGAAACGCCTGTAATAATTCATGGCACAAAACATTTTTATAATGATTTGGCGTTTAAACTTTCTCTAGTAAGTGCTTTGGAGTACTTGAATCATAGTACAGATACTGGAATAACTAATTTTATCCTAAGTTCTTATTTTCAGTCCATGGATTAGTCTGGACTGTGGAGTGCCGTTTTTATCTTTTTTCCATATATAATAACAATAATCTGTTGTGTTATTTCCCGCTTCATTTGCTAGTTTGTCATGACTCATGACACACGATATTGTTTATGATCACGCATGCTCTTCATTAGCCTTTTTTTATCTTTTAGTCCTTGGTTCAACGATCTCTTCGTTTCAGTGTGCGGGACTTAGCCACATCGTGGTCGTTGTCATCCTGTCGCTACTTTCGTTCTTATCCCCAGTTGGGTTAGTAAATAGTAATCAGAAAGCACCAGTTTGGCCTCGTTCGAGCTGGCAGAATCTTAGCTGAAACTGACTGATTTTGTGAGAGAAAACAATATTTGGCTGGTTTGATAAATAGTGACATGAGTGGGGAACCAGTAAATTTGGTCTGAACATTTCAGACCAGCGAACTGGCTCTTTATGTAGTCCTCCCAACAAGCATCAATTTGACTTGCATGTAGATTAAACTGAAGAAACATGGGCTACAACACAGCATCACAAATCTTCAAATGGCTTCTTATGTGATTCAGAACTCAGGAAAACAAAAAAAGAAAAGAAAAAGAAAAATACATGAAGCATGGGCAACTACGTACTATATCACATTAATCAGATGCCTGTTAGGTTGTTCCATTAGCTGACATACCAAAATGATTTGTAACTTGACGAGAATGGAGCATGCTAAGGCTAAGGCATAAGGCGGCTCAAGAAGAGTGGGCCTGGGTCGTTTCCAGTTATTATGCAACAGAGGCATGCGACCCCGGCCGACTGTGGCCCCGTTCGTTTCGTTGAAAAAACAAGCCGCAACACTGTTCGACTGATTTGTTGTGAGAGAGAAAATACTATTCCGACTGAAAAAACAAGCTGAAAAGTACGGATTATAAGAAAAGCGAGCAGGGTCTGTGAGGCTGTCATTGCCCAATCGCCAAGCTCGCCGCAGTGGTGCACCTGAGTCTATTTCCAAAATAACATTGCACATGAACCCATGGCCACGGCCCGGTCAGGTACGGTGGCTATAGTCCTTGCTCTGTTACGATAGAACATTCTGTAAATCCAATTGGGACGGCAAAGCAACTTTAGATAAGTTAACACAACTTTTGTTTACATTTTATATGTCGCTCAAACATGAAACAAAAGTTTACATATACCTCGAAGGCTGAGACCGAGGTGGTCGTCCCTGGGACAAGGATGCAATAGATTTCGAAGGTAGGGGACCGACCTTTGCGTCGGGTCACTACTGAGGCGCCAAAGCGAGCCCGGGAGAAACATGGCACTGTAGTGATCGGTGACATCGAAGGCCACAGTTGACGGGGGCAGCCGCGCGGCCACGGGTGGAGACTTTTAGGTTGCCTCGCCTAAGGCGGTATGGTGGCGATCTAGACGCAAGAGGAGGGAGATGGTGCGGGACTCATCGCTTGTCGGGCAAAGCTCAAGCACGAGGTAGGAGGAGCAGCCATGCCATCGAATGGGAAGACGCACACGTAGAAGAGCCTGCTGCGCTCCTGCCATGTGTCGCATGAACATCCCTGTTTACCATGCTAGAGGGGACAGCCCACACCAAAGGGGCCACCGCGCGTGCTGCCGTCCCATGCCAGAGAGGCCGCCAAGGCGTGCCCCTGGCCTTGTCGGACAACTTCCGCCCCTCCAGCTTGGTGTCGCATGATCCGCCCCTGGCGCTTGGTGCCACCGCAGGCCCATAGGCTCGCCTAAGTGGCCACCTTCCCTTGTGCCCCGCGCCCGAGATCCATCGCGTGTGGGCACATGATGCATGTCCTAGAAATTGAATTGCATGAGTGCACAATAGGCTCATGTTCCACCCACCGAGCCTTCATGACCTGAAAGCCCTAGTTTGGTTTTGGATAATTGATGAAACCTAGGACTAACCTTTGGTCTAAGTATGTGAATTAGATAAGGTGGTCCAATCTAAGTGGTGGAGCAAGTTAGAGGTCCATGGCGATGAAGGTGGACTTGAAATGAAGATGATCAAGCTCTATCATGGAAAAGAAGAAAGAGAAAAATAAAAACAAAGTGATCAAGGCAAAGGTATAAGATAGGTTTCGTTTTTGGTGATCAAGACACAATAGAGAGTGTGATTATGTTTATGATCGATAGCCATACTATAAAGAGGGGAAATATTTGACTAAACGGTTATCGAGTACCACTAGGTGACATGATTCTTGCATATGCATTTAGGAACCTAGTGTGCTAACTTTGACCCTTGTAAAATGCTTTGAAAAATGCTAACACACGTGCACACAAGTTCTACACTTTATGGTTAGCAAGTTGAAAGCAAGGACGAAGCGGTTGAGGACTTAGAAAAAAAGAGGTGATGAAAATCCTTGACCGGGCGCTGGCCGCGGGATGACCGGACTCACCCCGGCGCGTCCGGTCATTTATAGGCGACGACGCTGCACTAGCCGAGAGCGAGGAGGATCGATCGGACGCTGGTCCTGGCTTCACCGGCACGTCCGGTCACTTTTTGAGAGGAGACGTTTTAGCGCGATTGGACACGCAGGGGCAGTGTCAGGTGGACGCTGACGTACGCTGGCGTTAGCATCATGAGCGCGCGGAGAGGAACGGAGTGTTGACCGGACGCTGGGACACGTCAGGTCACTTGTGATTGGACACGTCCGGTCCATAAAATCCTCTCTAGATGCTTACTAGAGTTGACTGGACTTTGGTGGGGCGGCATCTCGTCGTTTCCATCAGCGAGTCCGGTCACAACTTAACACACGAGCGATCGAGTTTTGACCGTTGAAATCGGGCGGCTCTGGTTCAAACGGGGGACACATGGCAGCCATCAGGTGACCAGACTCACCCGACCGGACGCAAGGCAGCGTCTGGTCACAACGTCTGGTCAACCCGTGGTAGAGCCAACAATTTTTTTTGTGAGGCCATCTATAAATAGTGTTTAGCCGGCTTGGGGCTCACTCTCTTGGCACTTTGACATACTTAACATCCTTGTGAGCCTTGGCAAACACCTCCCATTCATCTCCATCATTGATTCGTCATCATAGTGAGATTGGGAGTGATTTGAAGTGCATTTGCTTGGGTGATTACATCTAGTGGCACTTGGGGATCGTTGTGGCTGTGGATTTCTTGTGTCTCTTGGTGGTTGCCGCCACCTAGACAGCTTGGAGCAGCGGAGGAGCTTCGGCACGTGTTGGTGATTGTTCGTGGCCGACTCGATGATTGTGAGGGGTCTTGCACCTTCCTCGTCGAAGAGTCGAGTGGATTACTTGTGTCATTGAGTTACCTCACTTGTGGGTAGGTTCTTGTGGTGTCCAATTGTGTGGACGAGGTTTGTGCAAACCTCTTAGCTGCCGAACCACCAAGTGTTGGTCGACACAACAGGGACTAGCGCGCCGTCAATTACGTGAACCTCGGGAGAAAAATTGCTTGTCTCTTGCCCATTGGTATTCTCCCGGTTATTGTATTGACATTCATATTTTGATCGGTTCATCCCTATACTCAGCGGTATAAGCTTTCCACTCACTCCTTTACTTACTTACAAACTAGTTATAACAAGCTCTTTAGTGTAATTAGTTTTGAGAGCTTGTTAAGTCCACCTAGTGGAGCTCTTTAATGTATCAAGTTTGAGAGCTCTTAGTGAGTAGCAACTTAGCTTCTTGTGTGCCTAGTGATCATAGCAACTAGAATTGTTGGGTAGGTGGCTTGCGACTCTTGTAGAGCTAGAGCAAGTTTGCATTTCATCGTTTGTCATACTAATCAAATTGCTCTAGTGATCTTGTAGATTTTTAAATAGGCTATTCACCCCCCTCTAATCATATTAGGACATTTCAAGTGGTATTGGAGCCATGGTTACCGTTTGATTAAAGGCTTAACAACCTTGGTGTCAAAAGATGGCTCAAGTTGTGTTCAACCATGTAGGGAGCAAACCACCGTTCTTTGATGGCACATGCTATGATTATTGGAAGAGAAAGATGAA